GATTTTATACTCAGAGTGTAGATATCACACAGTGATGTCATAACTTCTGATTACAGCTTGAACTCTTCAGCTTTTGAACCCTCAGTCATTCAACATCTGAATCATCTAAGACAATATTGAGAAATTATTTTCGTCGTTAATATCTCGTGATAAGAAGTTTAACGTTTGATTTAAAATATCTAACGAAACGATAGCTTATGAAGCATAAACAAAACAAACATTTTTTTTTATTACGTAAATATTATACAATATACAAGAGAGAGAGAGAGAGAGAGAGAGAGAGAGAGAGAGAGAGAGATCCTGTATAACACAAAATATCTCTTATACTTATATTTTACTATTAAATTATAGAAATTTTATAGGCTCTAACGAATTAAATCAATAAGGAATAAAAAGCTTTGAGAGTCGATGCTGAATGTTATTGCAATTATGTTTTATTGTATATAATAATTGAAGTAGACATTTCGATTCTTAGCTTGGATCTTCTTCAGTAAATATATTAATGATAAGATTAAAATATATATACAATAATTACCGTTACAAAAATTAATGCTTCCCTCTCTTTTATTGAAGGTCTAGTTGCGTTATTGTGTGACAAATGTTCTCATAAGATCCATGACAAATGAGTAGTAAACATCGCATAATATGCCAATACTCAAACAGCCATGTAAGTTTTAAGTAATTATATTCAGTGTTAATTTTAATCTTATTTCTTAAATTTTACATTATTGATTCAATGATTAGTTAGTAAACTTGATAATTTAATGAACATTGACATATGGATGCGAAGATATATTGACTAAGATACACATTCATAGTTCAAATTACGACAAACAAATATATAAGTTCATACAATCTAATATTCAATTTTGTATTTAACGGTAATTGTTGTATATATTTTAGTCTTATCATTAATATATTTACTGAAGAGGATACAAACCAAAAAGATTGAAAAGGTCTACTTCAATTATTATGTACAATAAAACGTAATTGCAATAACATCGAGCATCGGCTCTCAAGGCTTTTTATTCCTTATTGATTTTACTATTAATTGATTGAACTCATTAATTTAGCTCAAAATTCAAAGTATATTAAAAAATTACAATAAAAGACACATAAACAATAACATATTGTTTATTTCATGAAAAAATTTTATTTATGAAATGTTATTGATGTAACATTCATATTAAAATAATTCAATTTTATGTGAGAAAAACATGTATTTTAATATATAAAACTATTTCCTTATAATGGTAATATAATTTTTAATATCACTATATATACATACATTTTTTTAAACCATGATTTTTATTATTTTAATTAAAGAAGTAACTGTCAAAGAGTTGAGAAAGTTAAAATAAAATCGACAAAAATTAAATAATTAAATTACTGTTTAACAAACGGGTTTAAGGAAAATAATTATAAACATATTATATATATCTATAATATAATTAAATTTTATTTCATAAATTTATCTTGATTTTGCGAGAGTATCTTAGCGGATGATTTAGCATCCAAGAAAAGCTCATTAACTTCCTCAATGTCCTCCTTTTTGATACTAGTTCTTTCATTGACTTTCGCCGTCAAAGCTGCGGGTGTTAAAAGTTGTACAACATATCTGAGAGTAGTTTTCGTGCCGAGTTCGGCGAGACTGGATAGAGCCTCATCATCAATTTGCAGTCCTTCTGTAACAGCTCTCAGTTTTACTATTTGTTCGATTTCTTGTCTAGAATATGGAAGAGTTCTTATAATTAGAAGACGGTCCAACAAATCGAGAGGTATGCCGTGTGGAGAGATAATGTCTTCAGTTCCTCTGATCTCGCAGCGGCCACGATTCGTAGCGAAAATAACGATCGGCGCTATAGCACTTTCCAACGCGCGGTGTAGATAAGTAAATGTCTCTATGTCTAGCATATGAACCTCATCTATGAACAATACTCCTGGTACTAATTCAGCGATGCCTTGGTCGATATATTTATTTACTACCTTGTTTATCTCTTTCCGCAACTTATCTGAAATAATTTTGATCTGGTTACATATATTTCTAATTATAATTGAACATATCTTTAATATGACTGAATTTAAGAAAAGTGTAAGTTATAAATAATATTAAAAATATTAATACGCCTGTTTCCACATTCAGTTATTTAACAAGATGTAATGCAAGCGTTATGTTTCAGTTATAACTCAATAAATAACTTGTACATTTTTTCTTACTTTAAGTTTTAGTTTTCTTTTGTTGAAAATTAATATTATGAATTATCCTGTATAAACAATGTACCAATTTTCTCTTTTACCTGTAATTTCAGTTTTTTTAGGCTTCATCAATTGTCCCATCATTGACATTATATCCTGTCCTCCTTGTGGCTTGGCATTAGCTACATCCAAATCATGCAACGTTACATCTTGAATAACTTCCTTTTTTTTATGTACATCACCTTTCGGTAAAGGAACATATTCCTCCGCTTCCAGATCAAATTCCGTGGCAAAATTATCGCTTCGACCTTGCCTCTTTACCGCCCCGCTATTAGCTTCAATGTAAATTACATCGCCAGTTTCGACTTTTTCTTTTTGTAAAGATTCATATATCGAAGGGTCCAGTTTTAATTGTTTTGTGCCTTTAGAAGTTTTCAATCCGAGAACTACGTGAGATACGGTTTTACCATAGCCGCCCATAGGATTCTCTGTTTCAACAGGTGACAACTCGGTCACTTCACCTTCATATACCTCTTTAGTTTCTTTAATCCTTAAGCCGATGGCCCTCCTAAAATTCTCCATGAGGACCTCTGTTTTCTTAATCTCTGAGCTGTAAACCTCCGAGCCCACCATAGGACAGAAAGGTACTTTGTTACCAAGTTCTTGAGCAATGGCAAGTGCTATCGCAGTCTTGCCTGTACCTGGTGGACCAGCCAATAACACTGCACGTCCTGCCATTCTCTTTGACTTTATCATGTCGACGACGATACCTGCTGCCTATAAGAGCAACATTATACTTATGCATCTCTTTCATCATCCATCAAATCATTAAGGTATAATAAAAATAAAAAACTAAAAAAATAAATTAAAAAATCTGTGAAAAAACGACTGTCTTGAAACTCTTGAAATTTGAATGTCATCTGATACATGATGTAAGTACATAGATTCTTATGATTTTTATACATGGTTTTTTTCTGTTGTGATGCTATGTCTTAATTTATGAGAGTGATTGGTGAACTTTAATATGACTAAAGGAACTAAATTGTAATCCATTTCGGGAACAAATTAAACTAAAATTAAATTATATATACAATAACACATAAATAGTTAAACTAGAAACAGAATCGTGATATTTTGGTGATAAAGAGGAATATTATGAATTTTCGAAACAAGAAAATCATAATGCTTTCTTTTTAATGATACTCTTTGAAAGTTTCCATCATTCTAATCTATCTTCTAGTATCGCACGACACATGATATGTCGTGCATTTACTGGAAAACAACGCAATTGCCGCTGCTCTCAAGAAGATGCTAACCTCACGCGCCATTTCTTGACCGACGAGACCGGCCGCGCTCTGGATGGCAGAGCCATTCTCATCGAGTCCAAGTCCCTTGATATGTGTGTGGGCTGAAATCCTCTGGGTCTTGGCGGTGCTCTTCACCTCCTCGATCTTCATCGTTGTTACCTTTTTGCAAAAATAGACCAACGTAAAGTGTGAACCGGACGGACGAGCACGTTGCTAGAGTTTGTTTGATCAGTAATGGAGTAATCCCCCTCTCTACCAGTAGCGTTATTACAACAACGTCATTAGTGAAAATTGAACGTGCGCAGCTTGCGCGCCACATTCCAAAGCTTAAGCTCGTTTATTGATCCACTCAGCGATACTGTGCAAATATATTTCATCATTTGCGATAAAATTAGAAGATAAATTCAAAAATAAGAGATATGTCTCCTGAATTGTTGATTGAGAAAAAATAGTTACGTCTGCAGGAAATACATTGCAAGCTGCCTGTCGAAAAGTCCGCGTCTAGCAATTGATACATTTTTCAATGGCTAGATGTCTCATGAGACGACAGTTTCTCGAGAGTGCCATGGGTGGACCGATTTCATATATAAACGCATTCTAGAAGAGCATCCGTTGGGTCCGGTACACCTGGGAAAAAGCTAACGATAAATCGTAAATCTTAATTTGAAGTTGCCGCTGATTTCAAACAAGTTCAACTATCTCAGCCCAAGGTGTGACGTCGACCCATTTTGCTTCGAGATACTATTTTCTCGTAAATTTTTTTTTTCGTTAAATTTTCATTACGCGTTGTACTCACGCTGTCGCGTCGATTTAATTTTTCGCTCGAATTGATATTAATTTTAATTGTATAACAATCTCTTTTAATCTATTTCAGCAGAAAAATAAAAGAAATATATAAAAATAAAACAATTACAATTTATTGACATTTGAAAATTTGAGCTTTCTTATTATATGCTGAAGGTTCAATTATATTTAATTGTAATTATTATAATGTAAATTACATAATAAATATAATTATATATTAAGATATATAATTATATACTTATTTACTTACGTATAATTATATATAATTAAATATAATTATATATTACAAAATTAATGTGAATTTTTAGATTTCAAAAGTATAAATTAAAAAAATAAAAAATACTTATAAGAGTACAACACTAGTAGATTATGCGTGTATACATAAATTTATTTTTATATTAATAAGAATTATTATACAGGACTGTAAAGAGATATAGTCAATAAAGCTCACTTTTTTCTATGAAAATAAATTGATGTATACATACAACCTTCTAGTGCTGCTTCTTATAAGTATTTTTTATATTCATTTGATTTATATATACATTTAAGTAATACAATAATCGTTCTTCAAGATCGTCATTTAACTCGTTTTACAATGAGGAACCATTTAAACAAGTTCAGGAATAATAAATAAATGTTTATTGCAGTGTACATTTTAGTGACTTACAAAATTTATACATCATTAAGTACGATTTGTTTTTTTCTTTTTTCAATTCCTTTGAATCTATCTTAGCCTAAAATGGAATCATACTTTATATAGAGGCTTTGTTTCTCCATCTTCAAACTCTGGTATTATCGTCTGGTTGTCTTTCATCTAGAAGGAATATTCTATTACTAATACAAGATACGAAGATGACGACACGTAGAAAAGCTGGACTTACTTTGACGTGAGCGTATAATATAATTCCCACTAACGTTAGAGTTATACCTATGACTTGATTTATCGCTAACGTTTCATGGAAAAGTAATGAGCCTCCCAGCAGCAGAAGGCAGAATTTGGAATGTCCAACCATATTATATCTGAACATCTTGTTAAAGTGTATTACGTGCAAGTTTGTATACAACTCGTAATGTAATACTAATGTAAGGATACGTTAAAGGCGAGGTCTTTCCTATGATCCAATAAGATGTTAAATTCACAAAGAAGGCAACTACACCTGACAGTATCACCATGATCTATAAATAAAGTACAATATATGATCATTCAATTTTATCTCAAAAACTTCTCAGATCTATCTGCTATTATTTCAGAAACATACCAGGTCCAACAATGACCACTTGTGCGTGAATGTCTGTCCAACGGGCTCCAAAATCGGGATAACAATTAACAGCATAATAGCAGATAATGGTGCTTGATAGAATAACAATTGCATTGGATCCATCTGAAATTCCTTCTGCTTTCTGTTTATCATCTGTAAGAAGCAATAAAAGAAATAATCAGTACTATATGTATCTGGAATTTATGTAATACTGTGGAATTTATATAAATTCTGACTATTTATTTCTGAAAAGAAATAACAGTAGGACATACAACTTGATATAGAGACGTTACAAATACTCCTAGCGTTGCGTAGATGGTTCCAATAACGTTGAATTGTATGTCATAATAAAAATTGATTACGACTCCCAGCGTAATTGGTATCAGGGTCAGCTTAACAAGTATGCCAAAACGCTTTTTATAAAATATCATCTGCATTACTATCACGCAGGGTGTCGTTAGCATTTTTGCCACCTGATAAGTTCCGACTGTGTTGTGAGCCAAACTCAGATTTGTTAGAACGACAAATCCGCAAAATGTCATGGCAATGAACACCATCTCCTTGATGTCAATACTTTTGACGCAAAAGACATCCAGCTTTTCGCAGATTATCAAGCCGATGAACGTCATAAAGAAGTGTATCATGGACAGCGTGATATTCGGAAAGCGGGTATGAATGTAGAGCCATTTGTTGAGAAGCACAATTATAATTGAGAAGGCTATATTTAGCGTCAAGTAGAACGCCGTGACTACCTTTTTGTTCATCTTTTGTAGAAGTCTAATAATGCTGTCGCTGCGAGGAATCAGTAATTCCGTTAACGATAACGTTAACGATAACGTTAACGATGACTTTTAAGACATTGTTACATCTTGCACGAGCGCGCACAAGAATCTCGA